ACAAACCATCAAATCTCAACTGAAGAAACGCAAACGCATTGTGCGATTCAGTTGTGCGGAACCATAGCATACAATGGGCGACATGTGTCTCATCCCTACAAGTGGTCAACGCTTTCGGAAGTGATATTTGTTCCCAATTCTTGTCCTCACTCTCATCCACATCCACAACACGTTTCGGATCCATAATTGCCAACAACTTTCTTAGCATTCAGTCTTTCACACAAATATAATAATGATTGCAATTCACGGTTAATATACTTGATATCAATGTAATATTGATTATTGATTCAAATGGCATAATAATAAGTCATTTTGTGTTCAAAGCATTGACAATACAATCCATTTATTTTAATATCTCATAAATATTCATATATTCATCACATAATACACATAACTATAAGAATTCTGTACTAAGATATCACTACTTTATAGTAAAGTAAAAGTTTTTATTTCCTAGATTACTAGTGTATATTATATGAGACAATAATGTAGTACATCTTAGACACAACTGATTAATAAACTAAAATGAGTTGTCGTTTACGTAAAGAAATGTCAAATTTAATGAGAAAATTATGACTAAAATTACTTATCATAGATAATTATCACACATCATATGACTACCTATTATATTCAAATATTAAAAAAGTAATATTGATTTATAGTATTAATATACATTTATAGTATTAATATACATTTTATACTATAAAACTCAACAATAATTAATAGGCTCTAAAGAGGAAAATATTTAATAAATTAATAGTTTTAACAAAAAATATAAGCAAAAAATACCAGAAATTGTAATTAATTGGTTTGTCCTCAGATCCATTGCTATACATGTTATGAAAACAACGATTGATTCAAAATATAGATATTTTCACACAATTTTGTAAACAATTCTAAGCTATATATCACAACAAGTCTATGACCCCGATACTATTGACTCGTTTTTATTGACAGTGCTGTCGAAAAGGTGGTGCTCTAATGCACCAGTAGTTTGGTTGTCATAAAGTGTGTTGAATATGCTTAAGAAAAGTTTAATATAAGAATCACTGAATTAAAGACTTAATGGTCTCTGAATCGGGTTTAAACTGTATTAACACATAAACCAATTGTATTTCATTCATAAACAATGTTTTCAATCACAATATTTACAAATAAATAAGTTTTATGATACGAGAGATTCAACAAGTTACTATAAATAGATTTTATTATAAATATATAAATTTCGTGTCAAATCTAAATTAATTTACACTTAATTTTCGGTAAGTTTTCGATAGAAAAAGAGATCACAGAATATGAGGAATTATAGCTTTTCGGTGTTTCGGGTATTTCTCTTTGAATGTCTTTAAATACCACTCATGAGTGAGAAGTGCTGCCATAATCTGATTGACTATAACCCAGAAGACAAGAACAGCCCATAGAGTGTTCAATAGACTGATCATCCAAATGGACAAATAGATGATAATCTCAGCCAAATAGTGCGGACACGAGCTGTACTCAAAGGGCGTCCCCTTTGGTATGTAGTGATTGTAATCAATGATTGTTTGGCCATCTCTTGTCCGCTTGACTCGCAGTTCAGACAAAATAAGATGTGATTTGTATTGCATGTAAGAGGCCATCAAAAACACCACAAACAGTAGATATAGTATTGTAGAGGTGTAGTGACTGTCATGAACAGTACCATCAGTGGTGGCCATAGAGTCGATGAGAGCTAACCCACAGCTCCCATAAAATGCAAAACCCATTGTATAGTGAATTGCATTGATTTTAGTGTCCGAAAAGATACTAATCTTCAGGTTTTCATACAATCGACGACTGAATTGTATAACCAATGCCACCATTAGGAGGACACTCTTAGTGGATATCATTTGCTCGGAACCGATGCTAACTTCACGACCAATCAATACAACCATAACTTTATTCATATATCCACTGCACGTGTTGATAGCGTCAGTTGTGAAACAATTTGTGGCAAACATTAAACCAATTAATAAGATGTGATAAATGAGTGCAAAGACATAGAAATGAGTGAAATATCTTTTAGGGATTTCCACGAGTTTGCCCACAAATACATGCAAACTAACTGTCCGTTTGGTGTGTTTGTCTGAGGGCTCAACCAGTTTCCCGAAACGGACTAAATTGAGGACTCGTTTCGGTAGATATTCACTGAAATGAAGTGATATTAGAC